GAGAAGGCCAGTGTGGAGTGCGGAGGGTTCTCATGATAGCCGCTCAAAAGGGCACACCGTACCACAGTTCCTTAAGCAAGTAAAATATTGTGACCGTGAAGGCGTGATTGGAGGATATAGGAAATATGAATAGGCCAAGTGAGAATGCGAGATGCAATAACTGTTTAGCACACAATTGGTTAAAGGATCGGCTTCACTTGTCTCTTTGACGAGTTGTAATATGCTGCTACGAATGGTAAAACTGACTAATTATGCCGACAACGATACCGGCGAAACGTTTGGGAATGTACTACGTCCACGGTCCGACTTTGGAAATAATTATGCATACAATGGACTCAGGACAAGATGCGTTCCTCTAAGTCTTCCTACCAATATAACCAAGTTCCGAAAACAAAGTCAAACAACTTCTATCTTTATTATTATTCATTTCAACTATTAGTCTCGTTACACTACACTTTAATCTATATCCGAGAATTCGTTTTACAAAATGGACAATTGTAAGCAACAATCAAAATGATTTATCCAATCGTCAACAAGTCAACTCTTGATAGCTTTCGCAAGCCTACCGTTGGAACCCTGATAGGCTGGTTTTTCGCACTAAAACTAGTTGGCCGTCCGGCACTTATTAGCAACTAGATTAAACAACACCAATGACTTAGCGGAGAATGGATCAGAAGTAGGGAATAAATTTCTCTCACTAGACAAAAGATCAACTTAGAGGCAAAAAAATGGCTTCATAAGTATAATATACAAATAGATGAAAAATCCGATGGGCTTACATTATACTTGCTGAGAAAAATTTGTAGTGACTTATAAACCACTGTCACAGTCTTGCTATTCATGGTTTTGTTACAGTCATCTCTCCTGTCATCGAGTACGCAATAACCATCAACTCATATGTTTCACTCAAACACATCGCATACCCTGTTGAACCAGCCAGACTATGGCATTCAAATTACACAAGATTATTATACACTAAAAAAATTCTGGACTGAGGACTATTGTCCCGCCACTTGTGATTTCCCTTGTGATCCTGTGTTCGAACATTTCATTCTTACACTTACGCTACATACCACCTCCATTTTTGGCTATGTACTCTCTGTCCTCTCCCGTAACTTTCCTTGTTCTGTAAAAGCTACCCCTTGACTCGTTTTTCATTCCCTATATATGGTCGGTTATTCCGCATTGTGAGGTGTAGCCGAACATATAATTTCAGTAATACCAAGATTACCAAGAATGTAATAAATAAGCGATTAAACCAGAGAAAAATTATCAAAAAATTTGCTTAATGCATAAGCATACCCAAAACAAAACAGAAAACAACCAAATCCGCAAAAAGGGGATGATGCAGCTAATGATATATCACGTCTGGGTAAAAATGGAACAAAAGTATGAGGTAAGGAAAGGAAGGTATAAAAACAAGAAAAGACGCATACAAGGATTTCTTCCAAATAAACAAAAGTGATGCGCATGGCAATATCTATGAGGTACATGAATTCGCCGTTGTGGATAGTAAGATGAATTCATTTAGAGTACTGATCGACTTAAGACGTAAAAGAGGCTAGATAAATAGCTTTTAATTTTACTCAGAGTATAAAGCATAAATTATAAAGATTGTAGATAGAAAAAAATTCCTGACATTATTTTTTTCCAGTCCAATGCACTTACTGAACAGGACTAAGAAGATATAAAGTCTTAGCCTTAGCGAAACTTTGGTAAGCTTAGAAATCAGAGCCATAGAACCCTAATAATTGAGACAACAGTTTACTTGCTATCGTTCTCTTGCTATAGAGCATGATCAACAATACCTTGAGTAAAACGTATGTTATGTCTAGAGCAGAGTGAACTAGCCAGCTGGTAAATGAAGAAACATATATTTGAAAGCACAAGGGCGATTTTGATAAGACCCGAATGAAGAAGGATGTAAACTAAGCCGAGCCATTTCAGATGTGAGCTCTCAGAGGAGAGTGAGGCGAAAAGATATATAAAACAGTCATAATTGTGCCGAATTACAAGATAATTGAAACAAATGTCTTAAGAGCCTGACACTATTCATTTAAATTTGCAGTAGCTAAATCAAAAATATAGACAGAATTTAGCAGGGTTCATTACTTAAGGATATTTAAGAAATCCTAGAATATGATGGATAAGTCACAAATATTCTCATATTTGAAAAGCTAAGAAATTCGATAAGAAATTGCTTATAAGGCAACCAAACAAGGGAACGGGGGAATCGGAGAGCAGAACACTTATGGAACACCATTTAATAGGAAGAAAATACGAAAAAATTAAACAAGAGATAGGCGAAAAAAATTATGGATAGACGGAAAGAATTATAATGAAAAAAAGATCAGGACACAGAACTGGTGAAAATTTTACTCATTACTTTAGTAAACTCGAAGCTATAAAGCATTGAGATCCGAAATAGGAAAACGCATTAATAAATGATCTTCCTTAAGCAAAAGGAAAATACATCATGAAAGAGTTTGCAAGGAACGGGAAACGTGATATTGAGGCTTTGGTATGCAAGGCAGTAGTAAAAATTGCAGTTACAACCATCTTGAAAAATATTTATTGTGAATAGGAGACCAAGAATCGAAAAACAATTAGAGAAAAATTGTCAGTTGGCTCAAAACACAGAGGCTAAATGATGCAAGAGATTTACCAAATGAGTAGATACATCGAATTGAAAGAAAAAGGAAAACATTAAAGATATAAAGATCAAGATGCTGTTGCCTCTGGTATGGGCGCAGTCTCCTTTCGATTTATATAAGTAGGTTGACCTCGTTGTCACAACTTGGTCTTGTCAGGGCGACTTAGTAGAAAGCAACTAGTCCGAAGTCGTCTGGTATAGTAGTCGTCATGATTCACAGAAGCAGAAAGTGGACTTGGTACATTCTCAAACGTTTCGCCGGAATCGTAGTGAAGTCAATCCCTCAACATAGGTTCTGCCAAAAACGACTACACTATCACTCCTCTTTCTGTCCTGGCCTATCTATCTACTCTTTTCCCTCTTATCCCACTGCCGCTCCATCAAAACTTAAGACTTGTTTACATACCACTCGTCAAAATGTGTCTTTTTATAGCAAATCTAGTGTGACCTCGGCACACTTGCTATTCACCCCGACCCCTCTCTTTCGATCGGCTGATCCGAGTCAAGCCTCCAATCCGGATCCCCTCATTGTCTCGTAGATCCGTTCCTTATCTTTCTTGTCGACCGATTTCACTTGGTTCCAGTCCCAGACTTGTCTCTTTAACGATACCCTTTTATGTGAGTTTGAGTGGCATCAATTGCAGTGGCAAATACAGTCTCGTTTAATCGGCAATCCCAAGCTAAGCGTGGGTCAGAGAAACTAAGCTTGTCTTGGATTTCAAACCTGCTTTATGACCCACTGTAGCCCGTGCTAGTCTAGTAGTCGCCATGACACCCACGACCCAATATCGAATCCAGTTGGAAATATTGACGAGGCCAAGATGAGGTCAAAACTTCAGCCGACCCTGAATGAGATAGCCTTTTTGGAAGCAAAGCTGAGTGGAATTCAATTGAATCGTATGGCTTTCTTAGATTATTGTGAAAAAACTCAACCAGCAGAATTTAAATCATATTAAGCAATCCAAGGTGACTAAGATCTTATTAATGGAATACAAACCAAACTACGATAGACTTCATATGGAATACTGTAGCAGGGTATAATAAATACCCAATACTTAAGTAGAATGGAAAATACTTAATTTGTATTTTTAAAAATATATACAAATATGATCATATCAAATATAGAATATTTTCACCATATTTCCACATTTACAAATAATTCAGGATATATGGCATAGGAAAATGTGAATTATTTAAATGAAATCAATCACACAAAATAGCTCCATATTTTGCCCTCCTATTGCAAGCTAAGGAGAAAGAGTACGCACAACTTTACAAAATCCAAACCATGTGTATCATTATTTAATCTAGTATATTGGCCAATAAGGCTAGATATGTTATTGAACTTGGCAGTCCAAGCATCCATTAGTTTTATCTGCATAGAAATCTGTCAAACGCTGATGAAGATGAAACATCCTAATTCTGGTCTCACGGACCGCATTTAGTTGATAATGCAAACCAGCTTCGGCCTCAGTCTCAGACTCCGGCGCAGCAGAAGTGGCAAGGCCTGTGATAGCAGCGTCAGCAGCATTCGATGGAACAAGTTCTTGGTTTGATGAATGCAGATGCGAGGATTCACATGAGTTTTGCTGGAGACAAAGAGAATTGGACTCAACGGAACACTGCATATCACGAGTAAAATACTGATATTCTGTACGAGCAAAAAGAGGGGGAAATTGGGAGAATGGGGTATAAGAATGAAAGGACAGCAATGATTTGGTTGAGATGTCGGCAGAAACAATTGGTGAGTAAAGAATATCATTAGAACATTACGTAGGTATGAAAACTAAATTAATACTATGTATCCGTTTGAAAAGAATGTCCATACCGAAGAGCGTGAACAATATACATGTTTGTAGGGATGCTTATAAGTAGGAACCAATTGAACACATTAAACATCTAATCGTTGAGCTCAAATGAAAGTCTGTAGTGAAGGTGTCGGAGGGTTGACCCCAACAGAAGACGAAGGGTTCCTCTAGGCCAATTAAATTGCCTATACTGGAGCATTACGGTTGACATTATCCCCGACGCCATCTTTGATTTTGGTGAAAGTGTGCTAATATCTTACAATAAATTCAAGCTAATGAGCCAAGAAAACAAACCTGATTATCCTTATATGCTGCATATAAGCTTTAAACCAATGCATTTGTATGAGGTAAATAGTAATTAGTTAATATCATGTAAGCCTGGAAACGTATGCGAATATGAAACAGGCAGAGGTAGTTCAAAGTAATTATAATACAGTATAACCTCTGTCTTACGTCATCAAATCTGAATTACCTTTTCAACCATCACACTTCTGGTCTAATGAGCCGTATTTCGTGAGCCAAGAGGTCTAGAAAGTGTGACAGGAACCTATAAAATGACCAAAAAAGACTAACTTGCCTTAATTTTCCAGGCGGGCAAAAGCATCTCTTCCACTAGACGTATGAATTAAACAAAAATAGTTCTTAACTTCCTACATATATTCCTGACATTTGACATAGTGCCTAATCAGATGATTTCGATGGTCTTCCTAACTTTTCCTTTGGCTGCAGACATAAAAATCAGCAAAGGACAAGAATGAGACCAATCTATCTCAAAATCAGCTTCTATCCTTTGTTCCTCAATTTGCCTTCCCCCAGTCAAATTGGGCAGGATAATTGGTCAAATTTTCCTCTAAGTGGCAGAATTAAAGAAATAGTTGTAATCTGCCTGAAAACGGTTCGTATTCCCCATTTATTTACAGGTTCGCTAATCTTTCTAGATAGAAGACAGGAAGGCAAAATTAATCATCCGTTTTTTAATCCACTTTCAAATAAACCCCATCTAAAATTGAATTCCTTTTAGATCTGGTGCTATTTTCAATCAAGATAAGAGAATAATTATTCTCAATTAACATTTGCTTAAGGTAAATTTGGCAGTTTATCCCAATGTCCACTATCCGCCATTCTTATATCTTGAGTAATCCTTGATTTTAAAATATCGGGTGATGTTTTGTACCTCTGGATAAAGGAAAAATAAAAAACAAAGCAGCATAATACTTCCTGCCCAACACATCTAAAAAGTAAAGACCATTATCCTCTCCTATTTAGATTGTGAATTTACTTTAACTGTAACGCTAGCTAAGTGAAAACAAGAGATAATCAAAGCTATCTTAGTAAAATTTCAGAATAGTGAACCATATGTCTATATATTTCGTGATGAGTTCCTCTATTTTGGCATGTGGTAATTATGAGATGTGTATCCTCTATTTAGATCAAGGGGATGAAGGACTGGTGAGTAAATTTAGCCACAATGGCAAGAAGAGAACTTACACCTCTAATGCATTTCGGATAGTCATGCTTCACATCCAGGGTGGACTGCAGATATTATTAGGCAAGAAAGAAGGCAAAAAAGATAAAATTTCAAGTTCCTAAATCCGCTCGAAAAACCCATCGTTAAATCTCAAGTAAGTGCAACAAATTAATAGATAAGGTAGACATTTATCATTTTAGCTCTAGAAAAGAATAAAATAAAACCGAAAAACAAGAATAACGAACAGAAGAAATTCATGAGTTGGTTCCATCGGAGGATGTGAGGGTTGCCTTGGAGATCTGGTTGTAGATTTGTGCGAATCGTCACATGGTGCACTGCCCTGCGACACTGTTAAATCCTTGCTGAGATTTCCTTCGTCATGTGACGGACATCGTTAGAGCAGAACACCATGGTTGGAGATAATTGATCAAAAACACGAGGGCAAAAAGGTGGTGGGCTTCAAACCTACTTCCTTCTTATAGTCCAATTTGGTCCAGTTAAGCATCTCATGTTTTGGTTGGATGTCCTATGTTTTGCCTATATGTTTGCTCATAGGTTAAGGTAAGGGGTTGCGGATGACATGTGAGGCGGCTGCAGGTGAAGCGTGAAACGGGTGCATTTGAAATCTAACAACTGCATCCTCTCTTAAAATACTTATGCCTTTGAACATGCAATGTTTCCGCATTTCATTGCATTTCATTGCAAGCGTGTTATGTGAGTACATTGCTCTTGAAATGAGTGTGAAGTGAGTCAAAACCAGATTCCAGCCTAATCGAGCCTCCTCTTCC